GTCGTGCTAATAACGCGAAGGTCGCAGGTTCGAGACCTGCATGGGCCACTAATAACATATTTTGTTGGTTTAAATTTCTTAGAACTTTCTAAACTTGCTTCAACAATTTTTCTATGACTGGTTTTCTTTTTCTTTTTAAATGTTTGGATTCTGTTTCAAAAATTTATCATCAATCCACTTAGGAGTAAGACTGAATTTGAATTTTTTTTTTTTAAAGGAACTGGATATGCATATATATTTTAAGTCGAATTCTATGAACAAATAATTAAACTTTAACACTGGTGAATTAGTTGATGAGTACGGAAAGTGAGGAATTCGAACCCTCATAGTATACAAGTTTTTATGACATGAAGAGCTTGATACACTGATCAAGTTGTTGAATGTTGTGTGTATTTGGAAATTTTTCAACAACAAAAAAATAATTAAAACCCACTAAACAAAGTTTAAGGATTGGTAATCACGAAAATTAAAGTTTACAAAAGACCCATTCTTTTAAGAACAAACTACTAAAAAGGCACAGTTGAGATACTTAAAGTGTGAATATTTTTGAAATTGCGATAAGTGTCCTGTCTATAGATTGCTTGATGTGAACTGTGCATGCCAAAAGAGATTTTCAAATTTAATTTCCGCCAAAAGAGACGTCATTTCATGATTTATATTGAACATAAATTCATTTTTTATTGTAATTTATGTCATTTACAAAATTTGACGTACATAAATTCAAAACACTGAAATTATTAATTGCCAAAAATTTAAACGATAAAGATCTAAATTCCATCATTTAGGAATCCTATGTAATTTTCAATTCCTTCATCCAAACAAATGGACAGTTTCAACAAGAAAAACTGAAGCTACTTTCTCTTACTTTATTTTAGTTTCCATTTTGTCGTTGGTTCTGGTATTCCATTTTCCTTTCTCCACTTATCAACCAAACATCCTGTGCGAATCACTCATGACACTAAAATACCAACAGACAGTACAGTAGTAAAGATTAAATAAACCTTTTACCAGCTTTCATATGGAGAAAGTCCTGAGTGGGACACGTACACGACTTACTCTCACAATCACCTCATCATACGAATGCCTCGTGATAGATAGCTGTGTGAAGGAAAGCGTACAAAAACCATCCCACCCCCGAACTTTTGCTTCATATGGTGTGGAATATCAATAAGAAATAAACACGTTACATAAAAATCCTTATGAATCTAAAAAACACACTCAAACCACCACCCCTTCTGTACACAAGGATAACTCAGAATGCTTCATCAAGTTTCATCAGGAAACTCCACAAAAGAAGTGTTACCAGAAGAGAAGCTAAAACTCATAGAACTCTCTCAGAAAAATCACCTACCCTCAGATTTCACCAGCTGTGAGAATACTCTACTCATAGAAACACCTGAAAGATCATCCACACTTGAGACTTCAAACTGTGCAGCAGAATCATTTGCGTCAACATTGTTGAAGTTGTTGACTTGCGGGGATAGCTCGCCAATCATATTGGTACTATTTTCTTCAGCATCACCTGGAATTTCTGCCTCTTGAAGTTGAAGGGCATACTCTAGATTCCACAACACATCTCCCATGGAGGGCCGGTCAACACCATAGTCAGCCAAGCATTTCTCAGCGGTTTCTCCAAATTTCCTCAGAGAATCTGGTCTGATTTTTCCTGCAAGGGTAGAATCTATTATTTGCTCCAACTGCCCCTTCTTCTGCCATTTCATTGCCCATTCAGCCAAGTTCACCATTTCCCTTGGAAGGGACGGATCTATAACAGGTCTTGCACAAAGGACCTCAAACAAAACCACCCCAAATGAATACACATCTGATTTCTCTGTCAGTTGTTGCCTTCTAAAATATTCAGGATCAAGGTATCCAAAACTCCCTTTCACTGCTGTACTGACATGGGTTTGATCGATTTCAGGCCCCGTCTTGGAAAGCCCAAAATCAGCAACCTTCGCCATGAGGTTTTCATCAAGCAAGATATTTGCAGATTTCACGTCACGATGAATAACTGCTTTTGCATAGCCAGTGTGAAGGTAGTGAAGTCCTCTAGCTGATCCAATGCATACTTCAAGCCTTTGCTTCCAACTTAAGCTGGGGTAACCTGAGCCATAGAGATGACTCTTCAAGGTTCCGTTCTCCATATATTCATATATCAGAATCATCTCACTCTTGTCATCACAATACCCAATCAATGAGACAAGATGGCGGTGACGGAATTGAGATAGCATCTCAATTTCAGTCCTGAACTCTGCAAGTCCCTGTTGAGACCGTGGATTTCCCCTCTTGACAGCCACTTTAGTTCCATCATTTAAGACTCCTTTGTATACCTTCCCAAAACCACCGATTCCAATAACCCAACTCTCATCAAAGTTATTTGTAGCCTCTTGTACAACCCCAAAAGGAAAACGATAGCTATAGTTAGAAGCAGCACTAGCAGTTGTTCCATATGAGTATTTACTTCCCATGGTGTGAGAATTGGTTCCATTAATGGAAAAGGGAAGCCATGTCTTAGAATGGCCCTGGTCTGCCAGTCTTTTCCTTCTTCTGCAAAAAACAAAGAGAATCGCAGCCAATACCACTGCAATAAATGACCCAACGCTGGCACCTACTATTACTCCGACGTTACCTTTTGAACTTGAATTTGAAGAAGGAACTAGAGAGTTTGCTCCACTGAGGCTGCCTGCTGAATTGTTCATTTTCATAATCTCAAGCCCATTTAGAATGGCATTGGGATAAGCATTATTTAAAGGGGAAGGGCCAATACTAATACGGAGCTTATTGCTGACAGCAGCAGATGTTGTGACATAATCCATGTAATATGGCACAGCCAACTTATTAGTTGCTAAAGTACTCAGATCAAGATCTCGAGCAACAATCAAAGAGTCAAGATATACATTGAAGTACAGCTGATAGAGAGATTTACTTACTACATCACAAAAGTGAAACCGAACAAGGTACTGAAATCCTGGATCCACTGTGAACTCCCAGCTCACATTGAAATTGCTGTTGGGATCATCCGCGGATTTCATCTCAGTGAGGGTTCCATAGACAGTTTGTGGAGCAATATCCTTGGTTGCCAATGCCGAACCCACATCATAGTTAACAGCTGCAATATTTGAGACATCTTTGGCAAGGTTCGCATTTACTAGAAAACTTTGATCAGGAACCCAAGTTCTCCAGAGGGTATCATTCTCAAAGGACACTGTTGGTCCACCCATATTCACCCTCCAAGATGTCTCCAAAGCCTGAGTCGTCAAACCCTGGAATTTCACTGACCCAGTGTAGGCATCATCAGTGATCAGTTGGTCGGGGACTGAAACAACTTCTATGGCATTTAAGAATGCAAATGAATTCTTGGAAGGGGTGAAGGTAATAACAAGGCTATCTGAAGTTACATTTACTGAAAATTCTTTGACAAGAGAAGCGTTTTGAACACTGAAATCACCAAGGAGAACATGGTTTTGGGTGGAAACAGAGAACTTCGCTTTGCTCAAATCGTAACCACCATAAACAAATGGATAGAAGTAAAGGCGGATCCAGTGTCTCCCACTCTGGCTTATGGAAAAGGTGTACTTTGAGGATTCAGTAAAGATTCTTGCCGTTAGATACAGTGGCGAATCGTCAAAGGGAGTGATTGATTTCAAAGAAATATTGGCAACAACATCTTTTGGGGTTGAAAGAAATTTTGAAGCCAAATTATCTGCTACATAGACACGGTCACCCACTGAAGTATTGGCAGGCGATCCACAGTCTATAAGGTAATTGTCAGCAGGATTAAATCCAGTACACAACCATCCCAAACACAAGACTGACAAAACCCAGATGAACAGATCAAATTTCCTATAACCCATCATCAAAAAGTTGGGAAATTTACTGAGGAACCAAGAGATTAGGTTTGGTTGAGCTTATTTGGGACCAAAATGATCTGGGTTCTTAAACAGGAAAAGCAATATAGAGATTCAACTAATAAAAAACCAGAAATTAAATGAAAACCCAGGAAGAGAATTGAGGAAGTGAAAAGATGTCACCTTTAAGATCAAGTGAGCGATGTGCAATTCCTGAGCACAAAGCAAAAACAAATCTGATGAACCCTTCTATCAGAGTTCAAGAACAGTTTTTTCTCTATTATGCAAAATAGAGGAAAACAGTTACTGTGTGCAAATCTGGCAAAACACAAGCTGGTTTGAACTAGATGACAACCTTAGATGGATACTGACAGGTTCAAAGATTCTTTTATGCATTAAACTAACGAAAACGATACCAATCAAATTAAAATTTGTGGCGAAATGAGTGCTAATAAAATAAATTACAAACCAGCTGTGTGTTCTGAGGGCTGACTTTGTTTTGGTAGAGAGAGACTCGAGTGATACAATCTATACCCTTGATGGGAAAGTAAATTCCAGGGATAAAAAGGACAAGAGAAGATGCAACGCAACTGAAAAGAAAAATATCCGTCCGAAAAAACAGAAGAAAAATAATATAAGGAGTCTTTTGTTTCTATATTTTATGATAGGATTATTTTTGGCAATGAGTCATAAGTTCATAACAGACGGATATTTACTCTACGACTGTTTTTCTTTTATTTTATAACTTTATATCATAAATTCAATAAATTCTTTTTGAATTAGAATAAAACATTAAATAAATAAAATAAAATAAAATACGACGTGGTAGATATAAATTAAGTTAATTGGTCACGCAGTGTGCTCGATTATTTATATCTGAGTACGACTTCTCCTTATAAATTAGAGTCATTTACACTTTCCAAATAACACTCCTAAAATTATACACATGTAGGTGTATACCTAATGTCTAATTATGGACGAGAAGTGCTCGACTTTTTAAAATAATCATACCATAAAGTAGATCTAACAAGAAATGGAAATTGACGTCATTAATTTTTTATTTTTTAAAAACTAGTGACCCTATTTTTAGGTGGGAAAAAACCAAAGAAATATGGTCACCGATTGTGAAGTATTGCATTTGCCAATGCCATCTTACTTGATGTCAAAATGTTGTAAATTTCCTAATGGGTTCCCACTACAGTGGTGGTGGCTTCCTCGCTCCATGGCACCCACGTCCAAACTCCAATTCAATTTAAGCCTTCTATTTTTATTTTTATTAGTTAAATTACAACTTTCTCAATTCATTCCAAACGAAATTACTCTTATTCTATCTAAAATGGGAGAAGGTATGGAATAATGCAAGCATGTTTCTTCAATTATTAATAACATAAACAAATTAGAAAAAAAAAATCAAATAATCTGTAGCCATAGAAGAAAAAAAAGTCAAAATAACGGGTAGACCTCTTCAGCATCAACAGTTTCATTTGCTTGTCACCCAAAAAAAAAAAAAAAAAGGTTCAATTGCCGCCATGGAAGACGGGGTTATATCTTCTTATGTGGAACATGTTGATGTTGAACAAAATCCAAGTTAAAACAATATGAAAAGTTATCATTATCACGTAAATTACACGTATTAGATAAAATTTAAGTGTTCTATACTCTCGACAAGGAAAAGTGTGATTTGCTCGTAATTAGGAGGTTGAGCTTAACACTTATGAGTTTGTGGTTCCTTCTTTTTATCTTAATTTGTAAATAAATAATTTGAATTAACTGTATGTTGTCTTTCATCTTGAAATGTGTGTTATGTATAATCCATCATCCTTCATAAATGTGTAAATAATTTCTAACCGTTGATGAATGAAAAACTTACGGGGCATCGTTTCGCATTAATCACTGGTTTCAATGTCAATTCTTACAAAAGAAAAAAAGATTGCTTATTTATTAAAAAAGAAGGGAAAGAAAGTCTTTGTGGGGGCAATTGGCAAGTGGGCCTAGAAATAGTATTATATGAGAGTCCAGCAGTGGAGGTGCTTCTTTCGGTTGGCAAATGTAAACCTGCCGTCTATTTGCTGAACTTTCTTAAACCCACCAAAGTCACACACACAAAACAAAAACCGCAAAAACTAATAACATAAAATATCTAGGGAAGGGAGGGACGTGGCAATACACAATTGGCCAAAGCAGAAAAACAAAAACAAACGGAGATTTGAATTTTTTTTTTTTTTTGTCAAAAAGAAACTTTCATTAGCAGGAGAGCAAACCACACAAATTACAGCTCAAAGAACAAGGAAAAAACCAAACCATGCAACAGAATAGAAGTGCATGTAAAGCCATAAACTCAAAGAAACTCATACAAGCTGCTACAAGAAAGAGCCCCACGAAATGGGAATGGTACGACAATCCAAAATCAGAGAGTCATGGCCATCTTGAAACAGCGCAAGCTATGTGGAGGCTCGAGGAGGGCAGGGAAGACCGTCACGATTTAAGATATGCACAAGAGAGGTGGGGGGCCTGGGTACCCAGACTTCCGGACTCAACCTCGATAGTGCCAGCGACGCAAGATGATCTGCCGCTTCATTGTTTTTCCTACCAGTCCATGCCCAGTTACAGTTTGAGAAGATGGAGTTGCATTCACGAATCCTTGATATAAGTGGGTATAGATTCCATCTTCCACGTTTTATGTTTCCTTTCACGGAGATTTGAATAAGACATGAAAATCTACATATATATGCCAATTGCCAGCATATGATCTCATTCTCACGTTTCTTTTTCAACTCTCGTCTTATAGGGCTGTGCAAAATGCCTGGATTTTGGCATGGAATTAAGCATCCAAAAAAAAATTGTGTTTAGCGATTTATTTAGAGTGCTGCTATTTTCACTCACGTATCTTATTTTCCCACCCACCTCATTATTGTGGGATTTGAATTCATTTATTTGCGGTGGAAGTAGCAAAACTTTTAATTTATTAAGACAATCCTTGACCTTTAGTCTAAAAGTCAAGAACACAAGTCTTGAATACCCTCCCATAATTTTGTCAGTGTTGGGCTGACTTTTGAACTCAGAGTATGCAAATCAGGCCTGAAACAGTAAAAGTCCATTTATGCGATTCTAAAAAAACTGGCTAAGCCCAAATTTTGCTTGATTTTCAATTAAATAATTAAGCAGCCTTCAAATTTTGAACCTTAACCTTGCTGAGTGCGTCTTTCATAGGCCCCGTTTGGGATTGCTTTTTTTCCCCAAAAACCTGCTTAACTTTAAAGTTAAGCAATTTAAGGTGTTTGGTAAAAATAAAATATCCTGCTTATTTTAAAAGCAATGGTCTTTTGACAGCAGCTTTTAAAAGCAACATCAGGGTTGCTTTTTAAAGCTGCTTTTAATTGAAGCAGTGCGCTCCTTTTAATGAAATTTTTGCAATTCCACAAATACCCTTATTAGGTTAGAAATCTATCCTCACGTATTTCTCTCAAATCTGCAAACACCAAAGTTCATCTTCACGTAGCCTCCCAAGTTAGGAGACAACCATTCTCTCAATCTTTCTCAATCTCTTTCACAAGGTAGATTCTTCAATCTCTTCAATCTCTCAAACTTTTTAATTTGAGCTTTATTTTTTTATTTTTTCTACGTGCTTTATTTCAATCTCTCAAACTTCAACCATTCTCTCATTGCTATTGCTTTTTTATTTTTTTTATTTTTCTACGTGCTCTATTGTTCTACTGGTTTGCAAGGCCTCCATTGGTTGTCAATGGGCTTTATTTTTCTACTGGGTTTATTTTTCTTCGTCTTCTTCTTCATACAAATATTATATGTTTATATAATCTGCATACTTGTAATATAATATTTCTTGGGAAATCTACGTGCCTGAAATCTCTGTTTTTGGGTTTGTGTTATCTGCGTGTTTGTAAACTATGTTTCTATTGTGTTTTGGGCAAGTCCTAATTTGTTTCTTATCAGATTTCTTAGTGTGCAAACAGAGCATGCTGCATGTATTGCACGTTTCACTGAATAATCAAACAAGAAATCACTTTTATGAATTGCGAGAGAATTTTGGCATACTGAAAAGTTATAACAATTCCAAACAAGCTCTATTTTTCTTTTAATTCCCTTTATGATAAACTAGTTTTGCTGCAAACTTTATTTCTTTGACTTCCATTAATCTTTTGTGAATAAATATCAAAACTATAGACCCAAAACATAAGGGAAAAATATATGGGAGTGTGTTTGAATCCTTGTCATCTTGTACGACTTGTGTATTGTTTGAATCCTATGTAGTTTTGCCCAAGTTTTCCTATAGGTAATTACTTAGGAGTGTCATTGAACGCACTTTTGGTGTATGGAAGAAAAAGTGGAGTATTTTACAAGACATGCCTAGCTATCCATTCGATAAGCAAGTGAAGATAGTAATTGCAACTATGGCACTTCACAACTATATAAGGAGGCATGCCCAACGTGATATTCATTTTGACAAAGTGAATGACAACCCAAATGCAATGGAGATGGAGGGTGATGCACAAGAAGAATATCATATTACTCAAGGGCCTGGAGCACAAGAACTAGAAACATTAAGGAACAAGATTGCTGCAAGTTTAATGCATGCATCTTCTTAGACATTTTCTTTATTTCCATTTATTTAAGCCTAGTTTCAATTTGTTTTTATTGCTACAATTCAAACCTTAAAAAAATGTTTATTACTTATTCAATATCAAGGATGGTGTATGAACCTACTACCGTGGTGATCTCTTTATCTTTGTTGGAATTTATTCAAATCATAATTATCTTTGTTAGAGTTTATTCAATTTGAATTTTTATTTTCTTTAAGCAAAGATTAATATAATTTTTAGGGAGAAAAGTATAAAAGCACTTTACAGTTTTATTTTTTACCAAACAGATTAGTAAAAAGCA